CATCTTCCCGCGCCTGCGCGCCGACTCCCCGCCTCGTGACCACGCCCCTTGCTCCTTTAAAGGGCCGCCCCCTTCCTCCCGCGCCGGCGCGGTGGCGCCTGGGGAGACGGCGCTCGGAGGCCAGGACGCGCGGCGAGGGGACCTGCGGGAGCCGCGGAGATGTCGAGCCTGCCAAAGTTGAGCTCCCAACGAGGAGCGTCTGAGCCTGGCCTAAAGCTAAGCCTGCAGTTTGCGACCTGCTGTTTGATTTTGGGGAAGACATTTCCCCTGCCCTGGTCTCAGTTTCTCCTTTCCCCCACCACATGCTGAGTGCTCGCTGTGCCCGGCCGGTTAAGACGTTATCTCATTGAATCCCCGCTTTTGTTCTAATAGCATAGGGAGGCAAAGCTGACTTCTCGACACTAAGCATAGTACGTGTAAGCTGCTGTGGAGACGGAGAGTACTGGGTTTGGAGTTAGAAGATTTGGGTTCAAATCCCGGCCCTGCCGCTTCCTTGCTTGGCCACCGTGTGCCAGCGACGGGAACGCGGCGTCTGTTTTCTCATCGGTACAAGGGGGAGAATAGACCTCCTTCTAGATGGTTGTGAGGATTGGATGAAACAATAGGATAATGTTATCGTGGACGGGAGAGCACCTTGTCAAATGCTAAGTGTGTTCAGATATGAGGGAGGGATCACAAGGAAGAGGCCCCCCTCTAAAAATGTTCGGTGTAGAAGGATTAAGTGGGACAATCGAAGCACTTTGTAAAAAGATGTAGCCCAGTAAAGACACTAGATCATATTTGTAGTGGGGTGAAGACATGAGCATAACTAAAACCCAGTTGAAATGATAAGAGCCTGAGAGAGGGCCCTGCTGGAGTCAAGGAGAGATGTCTGGGATGGGGGTAGGGTTGGGGATGTTGGAGGAGGTGCTGTGGGAGCCAGTCCCCTGACTCAAAATCTTCAATATGCATAAAAACCACCTGAGGTTTCATCTTAGACCTATTGCATTAGAATCTTGGGGAGGGCTCCAGGAATGTGCATTTCTTACGAGCTCTTAAGAATATTCAGATGCAATGGCCCAGGGAACAGGCTTTGAGAAACACTGAGCCAGGGCTTTGAAGGATAAAGAAGAGTTCCTTTCTTTGGATTTTATTGACCCAAAGCTCTTTAACTCAGAGCCCTTTTTCTGAGGAAGAGAAGAAAGCAAAGTGCCTGTGATGAGGGTGCAGGTAGTGGGTTCTGGCAAAGCTGGACTTGAGTCCTGGCTCAGCCACTTTCTAAAACCACTTCAAAGTGATTTTGGACAAGTCACTTGGCTTTTCTGTGTCTCCACTTCTTTATCCTTAAAAATGAAGGAAAGAATAGTGTCTGTTTCAAGGCTGCTGTGAGAATCAGGTGAGATGTTATTACTCATTCTGCGTGAAGCACTTAGCACAAGAATGCTTGGCACATGAAAGCATTTGATGAATGTTATTGGGGAGTTATTGTGAAGATTAAATGAGAAATATCACATGTAAAACACACAGACTAGGGTCTGGCTCATAGAATGTGCCCCAAAAGTGTTGGTACTTGCTTTTATTATAGAGCAATTTGGTGTCCCATGATGGGGGAAATACTTGGTCCCACACCGTGCACTCGCTCACAGACGCAGATGCAGATGCAGACGTAGACACAGACACAGACACACACACCCAGTCTTGGTTATCTTCTATTTTCACAGTGACACACAGGTTGACTTCTGTTGTAAGGCTCCCTAGGTGACATTGAGCTGTTGACATTATCTTCTCTACCAAATTGGCTCGTCTGAATTCTGTGGGCAGGCCGGGCAGGAAACCTGGAAAATCATCCAGTAGGTTCTTCCTCTTTGGGGCTGGACCTAGTTCCTGTCCATCCTGATAGTCCTCACCTTCTGTTCAGGCCATCAGCTCTTGTTTGAACTCTGTCAGCAGCCTTCTTCGACTCACAACGGAGATCCCCTCCCTTCTTTCTGCCTCCCCAGTTCCTTTAGGGAGAACCAGAAGCTACAGTTCTTTGCAAAACACCATGAACTATTGATATATTAAACTTAAAACTGTAAGCAAAACTACGATTCTGTGCTAATTCCATCATTTTCTAAAATGGACATACACTAAAGTCTTCAGAAAAATGTATGGAGGAAAAGCACCTTAAAACAACAACAAAAAATTATATTCATTGTAACTAATCTACATTCTTGCAAATTAGAAAAATATGACTGGTTAAAAGAAATCTTTTTAAATGCTTTTATTTATTTTAGAGGGGGGAAGGGAGAGGGAGAGAGAGAGAGAGAAACATCAATGAGAGAGAGAAACATCGATTGGCTGCCTCCTACACACCCTCTATAGGGGATCGAACCAGTGATCTCTTGGTACATGGGATCATGCTCAACCAACTAAGCCACACCGGCCAGGGCTGAGTGGTTTTAATTAAGTGGTGAAACCCCTCAACTTTGAGGAACACCTGGGTCCCCCCAGGAGCAAGTTTGAAAACCATTTCTCTAGGGGTTCGAGTCCAATTGTTCTGGCTTTGCATTCAAGACCTTTGCACTCTGTCTCCCACACTGTCTTTATCTCCTGCTGTTGGGCCATGCACAGCCTATGATTCAACTGTACCTGATACCCACCTTTCCCAGAACTTCAATGTCTCGTGCCTTTATTCAGCCTGTTCCTTCTGCTTGATATGCTTGCTCTTCCCTGCCTTGCCTATCTGGGAAACTCCAGGTTCACCTATAATTTCTTTGATGTTATTTCCCAAACCCCTAGAATGAGTCAACCCCTGCTGCTTTTGTGTTTTCTCTGGACAGGTGTTATGGCCTTTAGGATGCACTAATTTATTTATGTGCCCATTTCCCCCTCCAGGCAAGAGTGGAACCCTGTTTGGTGTATCTGCATGATGCCAGCACCCAATATGGGGCCTGGCACAGGGCAGGTGTCATAAATATTCCATGAGCTGAAAGGAATTGAATTTCCTTATGGCCTGGTCCTGCCTGTGGTGCTGTCTCCTTTTCCTTACATTTGGGTCGCTCCAGGGCAGGACTTTCCTTTTCCGTTCCCTCTTCTCTCTAGGATTATAGAAGTTTGTGGTCTTTTCCAAGTGAAGCTGAATGTTCTCTTTTCATTTGTCCACCTGTTGTTTGTGTTCTTTCTCCTTCCATCACAGTCTCTACCCTGTAGCCTTCCCCCGCACAAAGAGCGGAGGGGTGTGGATTCAGTCAGGCCTAGGTTTGGGTCCTGGGCCCACCATTTACTAGCCACGTGACCTTTGGCAAGTGCCTCATGCTCTCTGAGCCTTGGTTTCCATGTCCAAAAAAATGGAATCAATGGTATACCCCTGTCAGAGGCTCCTGTAAGACTCCTCTGCGAATAGCAGCATTCTTGGTTGTTACTGCTGTTCGCCAGATTTCCCTCCTTGAGTTTCATTTTCTGGGTAGTACTTTCTGTCTCTTCTCTGCTCCAGCATCTTTCTGTCTCTGTTTCTTCCCCATCACCTTTTTCTTGCTTCTATTTCTCTCCCTGTGACTCTCTCTCTGTTTAATTCTCTGCTTCTGGTCCTTGTGTGCTGTCTTTTTGGCCCTTTCCCAGCTCAGCCTGGAGCTCATCAGTGCTCATAGGAGAGGAGACCAAGAGCCCAGGAGAACTCAGCCCTGCCTCCTCCAGGCCAGGGCAACCTCAGTTGTGCCAACCTCAGTGTAGAGCCAGCAGAGAGCAGAGGCAGTGCACAGGAAGGCCTAGATACACCTTGATCTGCTAGGTTCTGTTCAATGTACTGCCCACTATTTAGACCCATCTGCCCAGGGGTCTCTGCTTCCCCAGCCTGCTCTCCACTTGACTGATTAGGGGAGTTTGTTTTTTTAAAAAATGTATCTTTACTGATTTCACAGAGAGGAAGAGAGAGGGAGAGAGATAGAAACATCAATGATGAGAGAGTTGTCATTGATCGGCTGCCTCCTGCACGCCCCCAACTGGGGATCTAGCTCGCAACCCAGGCATGTGCCCTGACGGGGAATCGAATGCCGATCTCCTGGATCCTAGGTCGATGCTCAACAGATGAGCAACTCCTGGCCGGGCTTTTTTTTTTTTTTTTTTTTTTTTTAAA